AACCAACGCGTGTTTTTTTTTTTTTTTTTCCCTTTTCAAAAATAGACTGACTGTATCTTATGTTTTTGCTGTTTCATCTACGAAGAGCAGAATTGGTCCCGTAGACCTTTTGGTTTCATAAATGACATGGCGGGAGGTACAAGGTAAGAATTATTAATCTTCTGATAGCAGTAACGTTATTATGTTTAAATGCAGACACGTTCCTTCAAGGTAGCATTGCTTGCATTGTTTGACTGGCATTTCACAAAGCCAGCCAAACTGGTCAAACACTTGTTTTAAAACTGCTAACGTAATGGCAACAAAATCCAGTGGTTTAAACATATTGTTTTGGGTAAGTATGTTATTTTATCGGTTTCTTACGACGTGAGTCATGTACACGTTTCTTATGAGCGTGGGTTACGCAATGAGGTCGCTAGTGGACTGTCCTGACATGCTTTTGTGGGCTGGATATTTTTTAAATACCATTTTGAACTACAGTTTGTCATGTTTATACATGTTTAAATCAATGTCTTTAAAACGCAATTTAAACAACAATTCTATCTTGTTTTGTATCACACCCAGTGGTTTCCTAATAATGAAGTAAGTATTCATTTTAATCTAAAGGCAGCAGAAGGGATAGTGAGTGACAGGAGATTCGGAGGCTGACAGCGGGATGGCCCACTTTGATACAGAGTACCAGCGCCTGGAGGCGTCCTACAGCGACTCTCCTCCCGGAGAAGAGAATCTGCTGGTGCATGTTCCAGAGGGATCCAAATGTAAGATTTACAGCAGGTCCCACAGTTTTAAGTAAAGCAACAATGCAGCATAGATTGTGTGCCTATTGTATGTCAGAGCCATATGCTTTTATTCTTTGGGCACGTTTACCTTAAATGAGCAATGGATATGCAACATACTTCTTACCATTAACCTTGCTCTGAGATTTTCCATGTAATTTTGTCATAAAATTAATAAATTTAGTTATTTATTGCAGCTCCATGGCACCACATTGAAAATCTGGACCTATTCTTCCAGAGAATATCCTTTGAGCACTGAAATTAATTGCTTGATTTTGAGTTAAATTGTCTTTTAAATAGATCAAGTAGATTTACATCAATTTAGTGATTACAGTCAACAAAAGTCTTTATATTTTCCTTAACATTCAGTAAGTCTATAATCTACACCAGAAGAATGGATTCACTTGTATGCTGCTGGGAGAAATATTTGAGCTTGTGTAAGTATCAATTAATTTGCGGTATCCTTCATTAAACATGATAGTGTAATATGATAATGCTCATAAATAGTGTCTGTAAACAATGGATCTGTGATCAAATTCCTTTAACCTACTGAACTTTCATGTGCTTTTCCCCATTATTCCAGGCAACTGGTGTTTGTGGTGGCATTCACATTGTTCCTGGCTAATTGTGTGGACTATGACATCCTCTTTGCCAACAAGTTTGTTAATCACACTGATTCCTCAAAGGTTACTCTCCCTGATGCATTTCTTCCAGTGGATGTGTGCAGTGCTAGGTATATTTCCTATATTAAATGTCATTAATGATGTGGCATTGATGTTATTGCTACTTACTATCAGTATGATCCATCATAACACAAACTGCCTTTTATTGACATGTGTTTTAGGATCCATGACAGTGTTTTGGTCATCTTCATCCTTATCATATCAGGGGTCTTTTGGCTCCACCGTCTCTTCAAGTTTATCTACAACATCTGTTGCTACTGGGAGATCAGATCGTTTTACATCAACGCCCTAAAAATGTCCATGGTGAGCTTTTCTGCTAACTCATCATAGCACATTTACTAAAACGTTTTGGTTCTGACAGGCATTTGAGTCAGCAGTGGAGGAAAGCATACTCTATTTTTCTTAGTTCTTAATGTGTTTTTAATGCCAGTAAGCCACTCAAACTACTGATAATTTTCAGAGCAAATGTACTATAGTGAAATTATAGTATTCAACTGATTTCACATTCTTAAATGTTTAACAAGCCCTTTCTCTTTTGCAGGCGGACCTTCCTTATTTCACCTGGCAGGAGGTGCAGGCAAGGATTATTGAGATACAGAAGGAGCACCAGATTTGCATCCACAAAAAAGAACTGACAGAGCTTGACATCTACCACCGCATACTGCGTTTTAAAAACTACATGGTCGCGATGGTCAATAAGTCACTCCTACCCGTGCGCTTTCGCTTGCCTCTGCTGGGCGACACTGTTTTTTATACTCGTGGCCTCAAGTATAACTTTGAGTTGATTTTCTTCTGGGGCCCTGGATCTCTTTTTGAAAACGAGTGGAGTCTGAAGCCAGAGTACAAACGTGGAGGGAACCGTTTGGAGCTAGCAGATCGTCTGAGCTCAAGGATCTTGTGGATTGGAATTGCCAACCTTCTCTTGTGTCCAGTTATCCTGATTTGGCAGATTCTGTATGCGTTCTTCAGCTACACTGAGGTGATCAAGCGTGAGCCAGGAAGTCTGGGTGCTCGATGTTGGTCCCTGTATGGCCGTTTTTACCTCCGACACTTCAATGAACTAGACCATGAGCTGATGTCACGCCTCAGCAAGGGCTACAAGGCCTCATCGAAGTACATGAACTGCTTCATGTCACCATTACTGACAGTGGTGGCCAAGAATGTGGCATTCTTTGCCGGCTCCATACTAGCAGTTTTGATTGCTTTGACCATTTATGATGAAGATGTATTGGCTGTCGAACACGTGCTCAGCAGTATTACATTACTTGGGGTCTGCATCACAATCTGCAGGTGTGACAAAGATAAAACAGATTCTTTGGATTTTTGTTGTCCATTTTATTTACTGGCAAGTCCTAACTTTGAACTGTTTTGTGCTCATTCTTTCATCCTTGTTTGCCCTAGGTCTTTTATCCCAGACAAGCATATGGTGTTCTGCCCAGAGCAGCTGCTTAAAGTGATCTTGGCACACATACATTACATGCCTGATCATTGGCAGGGTAATGCCCACCGCTACGAGACCAGAGACGAGTTCGCACAGCTCTTTCAGTACAAGGCTGTAAGTAAAGCAGCAGCTTAAAAAATACTTCGTTGTGTACCTAACCCAAATATATTATTATTGTTGTTAATGAAATCTAACATAACATTTTCATTAACTGAAATAAAAATGAGAATCGGAAAACCAAAAATGTATTTTCATTATTTCAAAGTTAAATAACATCAAATAAAAAGGACCACAAATTAATTTTAGTTTTTGGTACACAGGAAACAATGCATTACAGAATCAAACAGGATTTTGATGATGATAATGGCATGTGCCATATAAATAGTGCAAATGTTTTTGGGAATTCCCAAGTCCCATCTGCAGTTTCAGTTTTTTGTAGCGAATCAGCTCATGGGGAAATATGAATAATTAATCATTTATAAAGACTCTTTCAATCATAATAGAGGTATCCTGGAGCGTTTGCTCACATCTTCATCTTAGCATCTAACCGAACCACCGACTCTGGGCGGTCACTGGTGTGAAGCCTTTTTAAGGTCTCGGAAGATTCCCGCCTCTCAAGATGGCTTGTCCAATGAGAAAGGCTTGAAATCCCAAGCGGGCGGTTGCAACTGCTGGAGGGTTTTACGATCCTTTGTCTCTAAGCATGGTATTTCGCATATGTAATTCGCTTGGGTGTCGACGAAAGATTACTAAAAGTATGAATTAGTTAGTAGAAAAGTCCACTTCTACTGTGCCTTGTGCCTCTTGCGATGGAACATGCAGTGATTTTCCCTGCTTCGCATTCCATTAGGTCGTAAATGTATCTGGTGTCAGGGTTGCCATGGTAACCAGGGTCCTGGGCCCTGTTCACAGACAACTTGGCACCCAGTATGTTTATTGGGTGAGGGGTCTGTGAACGTTTGTTAATCTAATGAATAATTGATTTGTTAAATCAAATGAAAAATGGTGTGTCTGATTGGTCCAGACGCTACATTTTTTATTAAATATTAAGAGGTCAAAAATGGATGATCCATTCACAATGCAATAAATAACATGCATTTCTATAACAGAATTTCATGTTGATTGTCTTTTGATCTCTGTTCTTGTAGGTGTTTATTCTTGAGGAGCTGTTGAGTCCTGTCATCACTCCCTTCATTCTTATTTTTTGCTTGCGGCGTAAATCTCTAGAGATCATAGATTTTTTCCGAAACTTTACTGTGGATGTGGTCGGTGTGGGTGATACTTGCTCTTTTGCACAAATGGATGTCCGTCAACATGGTCATCCTGCGGTAAGGACAGAAACCTTTTTTTCCCCAAATTATTTTCATTATTGTGCTTTTTTCTACATGTATCTATCTTTATTGTTGACTTTTTTTTGGTCCACTATAGTGGATGGCTGCTGGGAAAACAGAGGCCTCTATCTATCAGCAGGCAGAAGATGGGAAGACTGAACTGTCACTCATGCACTTTGCTATCACAAATCCACACTGGCAGCCCCCTCGGGAGAGCACGCATTTCATCAGCCTTCTGAAAGAGAAGGTGCACTGTGAGGCCGCCGCAGGACAGCAGGGAATCATAGCAGAGAATCCTGCATTTACCTCAACCCATTCACTACAGTCTGATTCAGAGGTATCCAAATGACTGAGCTGCCAACATCCATCCATCCAGATTACTACATATATTTCTAATGGCAAATCTGATCAATAATTGGAATAGTAATAATTACTATTATATTAACGTATTAGACTGGGTCCTAAAAGATATTAATGAAAAGTGAACCAAGTAGAAAACCCACTTTTAAGGTTAGATACAATATAATTACAAAGAGAACTAAGTTCTTTTTAAAAAGAGGTCTGATTTTGGGTGTTGTTTCATTTCAGCCTCGCAGTCTTATTGCAAATCTCCTGATGGGACCCCCTTCCTTGGCCTCGCTGCATCTGGGTCGAGAGGGCTCCATCAATCCTGTGTCCACTGGAGTGAGTGTGGGGGCATCCGCCCTCCATTCCATCTCTCCAGTCAGCACGAGTCTACACCTGCGGAACAGCTACCCATCTGCCAGACTGCCACGACCTGACCATCCAGCTGTGGTGACAGGCTCAGGGTAATGACTGAATAAAAGTATAACATATTCATTAAAATAATTAATAGAATATATACTAATACAATATATGATTGTGCTGTTATAAAATATTTTTTCACGTATTACATTAAAATGCTTTATTAATTATATTTTTGATTTTCTCTATTATTCTAAGCCTAAGTCTATTGCGTTTTAATTGATTTTGAGAATGACCCTAGAATTCACTTTGAGTAGCTTAGGGCACATGCATTCTCATTGGGATGAATCAGTGTTCATTAACATTAAAACAAAGTTAAAAACAAACAAAACAACAAAGACATTTATGCTAAAAAAGATTTCTATTTCAGATAAATGCTGTCATCAAGAATCCTGAAAACAATGCATCACAGTTTCACAAACATTAAGCAGCACAACTGTTTTCAACATTGATAATATTAAGAAATGTTACTTAAGCACCAAATCAGCATATTAGAATGATTTTTGAAGGATCATGTGACACTGAAGACGGGTAATGTCTGCTGGAAAACAGCTTTGAAATCACAGGAATAAATTACATTTCAAAAATATATAGAATGAATTAGAATATTTCACTCTATTACTATTTTTACTATATTTTATATCAAATAAATGCAGCCTCTATGATACTTCTTTTAAAGAACTATAAAAAAAGTAATATCAACGACAATGTATGTGTCTTTGCATCTTTACAGCTAGACTGATTTTAAAATGTCCTTGCCAATATTAAAACTTTCATATCATTAATTTGTTATTTTTTCTCTCCTTCTCAACTCTTGGATCGTCCTCATCTAGCACTGATGCCCGTACCATCAGCTCTGGCAGTAGTGCCTGGGAAGGCCAGCTGACCAGTATGATCCTATCAGAATATGCCTCCACAGAGATGAGCATTCATGCCCTCTACATGCATGAGGTAAAACACCACATGAACAGTTGATATGACCAAAACTTTATTACGGAATTATGGAATCAGTGAATGCACATGTATGGGACTGATCCAAGAATGTGAGACTGTCATGATCAACACATGGCAAGAATATCACTAGCTATACTTTCCACGAATGCTGGGCATCTTGGCGGCTTTTCCTTCACTGTCTGGTCCAAATCAGCCTTTTAACCAATAATGTGTTGAAAGAGGTCAGTCTTTAGTCTGCACCTGAATATTAATAACTATATCCAATGTATGTGTAGATGCACAAGCAGCAGTCGCGAGGTGAGGTGTCTCGACACACCTGGCACAGACAGGAGAGTGACGAGAGCAGCGAGAGTGTCAATGAGGACATAGAAGCCACCCGCAACTTCCCCCAGTCCAGCACTTTCCCAACTACCTCACACCAGGAGGGGCCAGCACAGCAGAGCGGAGGCCAACGGCGCTACGGCGGAGCCTCAGGTACTACAAATCTGTTTGCAATTCATAAGAATGTAAAGGTGCCACCCCCTCCTTGGTCTTTACATGGGCAACTATTCTGTCTTCTGTAGATCCTGTTTTTGGAAGCTTTCGAGCCCAGAGAACTCCTCGTATGACTATGGGCGGCTGGTCTGAGGAGAACCAAATGGGGAGACATCACGACCCAGTGCCCGAGGAGGGGTCTGAGGATGAGCTACCACCACAAATTCATAAGGTACAACATGCAAGTGTAAATATGAAGCAACAGTGATATGTGCTGGATTCCTAATAATCATTTCTGTGTTCTGGTCTTTTTTTAGGTGACTTAACAGGTGTATCGTAGATGAAGTACTCAAGACTCACAGCATCCATTTACTTTTGGACACTGATAAAAATATACTCTTGGACAAAATTCGAGTCCGAGCTTAATTATTGTACGTCACAGAGTGGCATCGTGTCAAATTTTCAGATGCATTGTAATGGTTTGAGCTTCTGAGGGAATGATGAACTACATCAAAATCACTCAGTTATTCATAGTTCTCACATACTGATCCACCTTTCAGAAGCTGCAAAACTGGTTCTGTAAAATACTTCATTGTGAACAGGAAAGTCTATTTGACAGAAAGCATCCCCAAGTCCTTCGAGTAAACGGTCTAATAGGATTGTGTTCAGTTGACCCTGACATTTCCGTTCTTGTCAAAAAGTAAATCTTGGTGTTGATGTAGGAAATCTGTGCTTAGAATTTTTGAGCTGCTTTGAATAATTTTAATAGGAGGAAGAACTATTTATAATATGCAATGTGCCAATATGAACTTTTTAGCTTTGCAAAAATAGATTTTGTCAAACAGATTTCTGTGAGGGGGGAAAACCACTGAAGATCATTCAAGCCTGGCACTGTAGAAATAATGCATGCTCTCTTAATTTTTATTATTTGCACAACATCAAATAAGAATGCACTTTATTCATATCCAAAGGACGACTCCAAGGCAGTGGTTAAATCAAGACTTGTTTTTATTAACATGCAGTTTTAAAGGCAGTTGTATATTTCTGTCTATAGGATAAAACCCAAGGATTCAGTTTATTTACCATGGCTCAGGTGAATAAAACATCTATGAGAATGAGGGGGTTATGTAAAACATATTTCATGTATCTCAGGACCGGCTTGTTTTTAGCACTCGAGTTGCCCAGAAAGTGCATGACACTTACTGGGTAATTGCAGACTGTTGCACCTTCCATCCTCAAACCCTTAACTGCTAAAAGGGAAGTAAACAAACCTTTGTGTAGTTTGTGTGTGACTGCAAAGATCTTGGATCTCAGTCAGAGACCATCACCGCATAAAATGGCAAAATGTATATATTTTGTTTCTCATAAACTGGCATTTCTGATATCGCACACTACTCGCATACATTGTGCTTAGAGAGTGTTCAAGGTGCAAATTGTGCATGACCCTTGACCTTTATACTGGTATGTGTTTGTAATAACTGGCCTGTAAAATGCTTCTGTGACCTTAACTAATCTATCAACTGCAGCTGTGCATTTTCCATTGTCTTTTGTTTTCAGTTTTCTAGATGGTGTTGTATATTTACATTTGGTACAGGTTAAATTCATCAATAAAATGTATTTAATAGCTTGTGTACAATTCTTTAAAAATCTAAATAGATATGATTTTAAGATTATTGTAGTTGGCTTTAATTTTAATGTTTTAGTAGTTCGTGAATTAAAGGGTTTAAAGTTGTACACTGTACTGGCACGCGCATTTTTTAGTTAGTAAAAGACGACAAAAAAAAAAACGTTTCGCCCGAACAGGGACTTGAACCCTGGACCCTCAGATTAAAAGTCTGATGCTCTACCGACTGAGCTATCCGGGCCTTAAAAATTGTATACAAGCACTGGTTGCAAAACAAAATAACACGTTATCGGTGACAATGTTTCAGCTAAAATGATAAAGCATACAAAAAAGATGGCAATTAAAAATGTATGAATGTAAAACACAGACTGGCACTAGTGACAAGATTTCTTCATTCATCGATCAGATTTTCTGGCATATGGAAGCATTGATGGTGAACCTGCGAAAAAATTTAAAATACACAAACACAATATGATTAGAAATATCATTCCTGCATTTGCCTAACCTGCCAATCACCCTACACACAGTGCACAGGCACATGGGAGCATTCGTGCAGACAAACAGGCATGCACACCTGTGTGAAACAAGACCAACCAGAACGTGACTGATCACACAAGAAGGTGAACCTCTCTCTGAACTCCTCTGTGACTGGGTAACATGGAAGTGAGGCCAGACCATCACTCACCTAAATGCCACATGGACCCCGGTGCCAAACAACTCAAATACAGCCAGGTTCTATTTTCTAGAAACCACTTCTGCTGATAGCTCATCGTATCAGGGAGGCTATGCCTCCTGTTCGCTCTGGGGACTGTAAGATGGTAAGGTCAGAGGTCACAAATGGCCATTATGTAAGGTTTTGGATACTTTCACCTTTAGGTGTCAATAGGGATCCTAGTAATGTAAAAAAAAAAATACTAACCGTCTTGTGTAATCAGTTACAGAAACGGTCTAAGTACAGTTTTGACAAATTCCACTACTATCTGAATTCAAGAACACCATTCAAGAGTGATTGTTTGGTGATGTGCTTCAGTTGTTCAGTAGAGGTCAGTGCAGATTTTAAATGTTTGTTTTTTTTTATTTTAAAATGTTCCAGGTTTAATGCAACTAATACACCACAATATATACACTACAATCAAAAGTTTGGGGTCAGTGAGATTGATATATTTTAATAAGTTAATTATATTCAGATAAATTGATCAAAAGTGACACTAAAAAAAACTTATAAAAGTTTTCCATTTCAAATGACTGCTGTTCTTTTGTAATTTCTGTTCGTCAAAGAATCCTGAGAAGAAATGCATCACAGTTTCCACAAATATATTAAGCAGCGCAACCGTTTTCAACGCTGATAATAAGAAAAAAGTTTCTTAGCACCAAGTCAGTGTCACATGATCCTTCAGAAATCATTCTGATGTGCTGAAGACTGGAGTAATGGCTGCTGAGAAATTCAGCTTTGCCAGTCACCCGAATAAATTACACTTTAAAAATTTAAAACAGAAAAAGTCATTTTAAATGGTAATAAAATGCGAAAATATTACAGCTTTACTGTATATTTGATCAAATAAATGCAGTGTTAGCATTTGTTTGATTTAGCATTTATATGTGAGCATGAGATTTTTTTTTAACAAAATTATTTTCTATGGTAATCAACATGATGCCACAAGTGCTGTTGAATTAAGCTATAGTCTCAATTTTCTTAATGCAGGCTAAGATTGGAGTGGTTCCTATGTAAAAGTGACATTTTCCGCTGGCCTCATCCTACCTGGACAACCGGCACCCAGACGCTGCTGGACAGTCTCCAAATGTTGGATATACTCCGTAAGGGAACGTTCTTGATCTTGGGTAGAGCTGAAGGAGCGTTCAGCTGGTCCCAGCATTGGACTTGTGTACATTCTTGGTATAAGAAGAGAAAAGAGGAGTAGTTAAGTTATTAAAGCTGTTGTTTTTAATTTGAATTACATCTTGAATTACACTTGAATTACACCATACACCTGTTTGTGTAGTAAGACATTTTTCACCTATGATTCAGTCTGAAGGGTGATTTGATTGGCGGCACCAGAGACGAGGCCACGCCCCTTTGAGCCAAGGCATGATCACGTGTGGGTGGAGAGTTGAACGCAACTCCAGTCTGCTGTGGCCTCAGCACTTCAGTCCTCAAAGCAGGAACTAAGACAGAAGGAAAGACGGCACGTAAATGACTAATGATTCAAATCACCCGTAGAACTACCAAATCAAGTCTGCAAGCTAGATCATGTGATTTACACACGCACCTGTGCTTGGTCCTGTTCCACGCCCGTTAACTATGGCACTGCCTACTGAGAATTTCCTTGTAGCTCTTTGCCATTTCCTGGTGAGGAACTTCAGTCTAAAAAGCAATAAGAAAATCAAGTAACTACCCATAAACTAAGGCAAAAAAAAAGGTATAAAAAAACTCAATGTCTCAGATTCAAATTTAAACATGTCTAAACTTGAAACCGTTACAAGCCAGCATTTTCCAAACGCCATACTAATCATGCTACATAGCCATTTTTCTTACCTTGAGATAGCGATGACTACTCTGACAGACGTTCTGAAGCGGTTTAGAGGCCTGGAGACCTGCGATTGGCTCAACGTTGGCTGGGCACCCATACGAGCGATGAGCGCAAGAGTAGCCTGTTCACACTCTTGAAACCCTCCCAGCAGCAACAGCAGATAACGCTTTTGATAAACCAGAGACTTCCTGTAACTCTCTGCTCGCAGGTATCTCTCATAAAGTCGCTGCACCTATAGGAACGGGTTCATAAAGCAAGCAGTTCAAACACACTAAAACGGTTTAAAATGTACTTTTACATCTTAATTTTAAAGCAGCATGCGACACTCTTATACAAGACTCATTCACAACACCAGGGTTTCCTAAACCGGGTTTGTAAGGGAACTGCAGGGGGGTTTGAGTTGATGGAAAAAAATAATTAAATCATGAGTGAAAAAAAAACTACCATTTTATTTAACAGCATTTCATTTGAACATTAACCAACATCAGAGAACAGTGAATGTGCTCTTAACTTATTCAAATAAGTTAAAATCTCAGAAGGGTGCTTCAAGTACACATTTTCGACCAAACTAGACCAAACAACTGTACATCAAACAATTAAAAGAAAAGGATAAATTATACATTGTGAAATTTTAATCCAACTAACCTTGTTGTTGGAGAGGTCATAGTTGGGTCTGTTTTCATTGCTAGCAGTGACTTTTGACAGTTCAGCCTCTGCTTTACGCAGCGCAGCCTGAAGAGTTGCTTTTTCCTTCTGCCAAGCCAGCTTCTCCGATAACATGCACTGCTCCGTAACAGCAGGAGAATTCACCTGATGGACAGACAGACATATACACACACACACAACCAAATCTATATGGAGCATCAAAAACAATTATTTACTATACTTTGAATTTTACATATATTCAACTGACAAAAATATTTCTCTCCTTTTTCTTTATATATATTTTTAATAGTAATGTGTACATACTAGATCTGTATATATTATATTTTACAACTGTATATTATTACTACTATTGTTATTATTACTTGTTTATACAAACTTTTTCTTCTCACATGTATTGGAAGGTTGGGGAGTATCGTTGCACTACACATTCTATGTTTGTCTTTGGTGTATTTTTTAGTCTTCAGTTATGTCTTCATTTGTTTCAATTAAAAAGAAATATATATATATATATATATGGTGAGCATCACACCTAGAACCAAAAAATATACGGACTGAACACTGAAACAGATGAAGAACTGCATTCATCTACCACTTTCAGCCTTCACACATCATGCAAACATTTTTCAAGTGGATTTACTGGTTGCATTATGTCTTGATTGATGTTAAAAAAGGTCCACCTTTCAAAAAAGGATCATAAAAATAAAAAAGAAACCAATTGAAAATAATATTACCTGCTCCTGGCGTTTCAGGCTTTGCAGGTCTCTCTCCAAACAGGATATAGTGTGTTTGAGGGAGATCTTCTCCTCACTCAGAGCAGCGAGACACTCGGAGAACTCGGTGTTCTCCTTCAGCAAACGTTCCATTAGTGAGGGAGTGGAGGAGGTAGAATCCTATTGAGCAGAAGATTAAATATATTACAAATACATTACATTATAGGATCAAAAAATTGTGATTCCTGATAATTGCAATTGCAATTGAAAAAGCAATTTAAAAAACCTCCAGGTTTGCTTTGCTTGTCTATAGGGTTGCACAATTTGGCCAAAAACATTCAGGTGCCTTTATGTTCAAGGATAACAAAGGTACCACCTATGGTCAGAGAGTGAATTCTCATTTCCATTCAATGCGTCTGCCATTTTTTCTCCACATTGGTCTGAACAGACAAGTCACATGCGAAAATCGGAACCATATTTGTGCCAATCATTTACACTGGTGTGAACAATTTTGGTTCCCATTAACTTCCACTATAATGGATACAAAAACACAACTGAAGTCCCTGAGAACTGAAACTATTTGGTTACCAACATTCTTCAAAATATCTTCTGTGTTCCACAGAAGTCAGTCAGTCAGTTTTGCAATGACATGAGGGTGAGTAAATAAGACACTTTTTCATTTTTGTGTGAATTATCCCTTTAGTACTTACTTCCTTAGGCATTCTGTACTAACGCAGTACAACAAAACCTATTTTTCTTTCATTTTAAATGTCATAAATCATTTGGTATCGGTACAAACACTTTCATCTGAGTGAAAGCTTTTGAGAATCAGTAGGTCTGGGTATATATTTGCTTGTAAAACAAAAACAGCCAAGCACATTTTTGGGTTAGGTTTGAGTTTATAAGTTTAACATTACAAGTAAAAAAAAAAAAAAAAAAACCTTAACACCCATTCAAAACTTATGGCTGGAGAATATTACCTGAGGGATGTTTGTGAGTGCATTCTGGCCAAAGGTCAGGCCATTGGCGTGCGTGTCTCTCTGCAGGCGATCTGACGTGAGCTGTTTCTCTTTCTGCTTCAGATCAGCCAGCGTCTGCTGTAGCTGCCTCAACCGCTGCTGATCCTTCTGACGCAACACTTCCAACTCCAACTGAGAAAATTGATCAAATAACTTCAGTGCTCTAAAACACCGACAGCAAACTATAATGCTCATGTACATATCAAATTAAAGGGTTAGTTCATCCAAAAATGAAAATTGTCATCGTTTATTAACCCTAATTTCATTCCAAACCCATGGGACTGGTTAATATTCGAAACACAAAATAGGCCATTTTTTGAAACCTGAGCGGATTCTGACCCTCCATTCAAAGACAAGGTAACCAAAACATAAGTTCCAAAAACAAGGCGTTGTAAAAAGAAATCATATGAATCATATCAAGCAGTTTAATCCAAAGTTACAAGTCTTGTGAAGAGATACAATCGCTTTGATGAACTGATTTAATTTAGGTTTTTGGGTCGTATGGGTTTGGAACAATGAGGATACGTAAATTCATTACTGGGTGAACTATCCCTTTAAGAAGATGACTCTTTTTCCTCACCAGTTTCTCATTGGTGCGTTCCTGTCGTCGCTCCTTTTCCACCTGCTCCTGTTTCCTCTGCCTCTCCATCTGCTCCTCCCTCACTCTCTCCCTCTCTTTCACCACTCTCATCTTTTCCTTCATCACATCCAACTCCGTTTGTAACTGAGCAGCTCTCTCTTGCTCTGCCTCTAGAGTGCGTCCGACCTCTGTTTTCTGAGTCTGCAGGCCCTCCAGAGCTGCACGGAGCCTCCTCACTTCCTCCTGCTCCTTGTGTGCCTCCTGCTCTGCCTCCTCCGCTTGCCTGCGCTTCCCTTCCAGCACCTGCCCTTGCAGACGTTCTAACATGGCTGCCAGGTCCTCCCCCTGACGCCTCTCCTGTTCCAATTGAGCCCGTAGGTCCTGAATAAACTTTCTGTCATGGGCACTGGCCGCTTCCTGTCTGCGGGCTTCCTCCTCTAAACGGCGCGTGTGCTCCTGGGCTTGGCGAGAGAGCAAATCTGAGAGCTCCGCCGATCGGGAGCGTTCCTCCTCCAGGCGGGAAAGCAGAAGTTTGGTGCGTTCGTGCTCTTGGGCCAACAGGGCCTCACAACGAGACTGCTCAATCTGGAGCTCAGAGCGCAGGTTACTGGATGTGATGCGCTCCTGTTCCAGTGCGGAGTTAAGCTGACTGACATGCGATGCTTGCTCATTCAAAGCTTGGTGCAAAGACTGTTTAAAAAAAAAAAAAAAAAAAAAAAAAAGGATTACTACTTCGTAATTAGGCTCAAACAAAACCATCACAGGTTTCAGAGTTCTCAATATCACCACATAACTAAGTTAAATAAATTAATTTAGTAATGAATTATACAAATACTGTGAGTATATCCAATTTTACCTGCATATATACAGTATACCGATGTAAAGTAAGTCTCAGCTGCATGATTGCATTGCAAAATGTAAACTATATTATCACACAGTTCTGTGTGTATATAAAGTTGGATATATAGTATATCCAAATGTAGTCGCATACATACAGTATACTCACGTAAAGCAATATATAATATATATCAAATCTCAGCTGCGTGAATAACCAGCATGAAATTAATCGCATAGCTCTAGTCTGCTTAATGCGACCATAAGTCATGCAGATATTAAGATATAACCATTAACATCATGACTTTCTATAAAGCAGGTTTGAAACTTTTTTTTTTGTGAAAACCGCTAAAAGTTAGACTTGACTTTCTTCCTTTACAAATAGTTTTATTGCAACTGCTTTCCTGCCTTCATAGACTGACTATAGAGAGCTATAGTTGGGCTGTGAGAGCATTTCATTGGTTGAATCTACTGAATGGGCATGCGCTCTTCACTGAACGACTATGTTTTGGCGAAGGAGCAAAACTTTAATTCATAAGTAAACTAAATGAACTGACACATCTGGTTTGTGAATGAAATGAACTAAACATTTAAATCTAATTAACAAGAAAAAAAATGATGAATGACCATGCAAAATTATGACAGTCATTATTGAACTGCTTAATTTACTAATAAAAGGGGCAGCCACACTACACTGTTCTTTCCACTGACTTTCAATTATACGGCATACAAAGACCAGAAAAATAAGCTTACGCGAAGTTTCACTTTTTGTTGCTTTCCAAAGTTTAAGTTTGGTGAACTCTGACCTGCAAATTTATATTACATGAAGGTCGATATAGAAGACTGATACATCCCAGTGGAACTTCTTAGCTGAATTAACAGAAGCCGGAGGTTTACAGCATTGCAGTAAATGGTACTTTTTTAGATTTTGAATGTTTTTTGAATTTATGTTTTTGAAAAAGATGCTACAGAGTGTGATGTCATATCAGAACTATCTCAATGCCCACAGGAATTTTGTGAGCTCAAATTCTAGTGTGACTGCAGCATTAGTTGTAGTTGTTGTTGTCTGTGACCAAAACAAGTCTGAGTAAATGATTCAATGACTCAAAACACACAAAACAAAAAGAGCCACCACATATTGGCAAAATGATTTAACCTGAACAAAAGCCACCAATATAAGGTCAGTACATCAAAAATGTGTTTTACCTCCTGTGTTTGGTGGTTTTGCTCAACTGTCTGCTGGTCGACGAGTCGCTGCTGCTGAAGGTCCTCCTGCAGTTCCTGTACTCTAGCCTGCTCTTTCTCCAATGCCTGTAGACAGGCTTGATGTTCAGCCTCAACATTTTCCAGCTTTTGCCTTAAAGACAAAGAAACATTTTTCAGAAAAAAAAAACATTTGGCATACTACTGTGACGGTTCATATTCAAAGGGTGTGCATACACGTTTGCTGTACCTGAGCTTTTGATTTTGGCTCTTCAGTTCATCTTGATTTTTGTATGTAGACTGAAGCTGTAGCCTGGTCTCCTCTAGCTCAGCCTTCAGCACTGACACAGCCTTAAGCTCCACCTCTAACTGCCTCTGCTGCTCCAATCCCCTACTTTTCTCAGCTTCCAGAGAGGTGCGCAGATCATGTGACACTGTCTGTTCCTGTTGCAGCTGCAACTCCAGCTCTTCAGCTAAACAGTGCACAGTTAAACAGTTAAAATCTGCCTTTGGGAGGGTTTTTGTTGGCTTTTTAATACTTGCTGTCATTTTTTTCTTAATCGAATTGTGAAGAACATACCATCTCTACGCAGTTGATGTTGCACTTCCATGCCCTGTTCTTTTGCAGTGTCCAGGGAATCCTGCAGCTGCCGTAGCTGTTCCTGACTCTGCTGGGTGCTTGCATGCAGCTGCGCATGCAGGCTGCGCACCTCAGCCAATAGACTGTGACGGTCTGCATTGAACAGCTGCTCTAGGGATCTCCACTGCTGCTCCTCCTGAAAGAGAATAGTTAATGAATAACAAAAGCCCTTTAATGCATTTAATATGGCAATATCAGCATCAAAAACAGCATCACACGATGAGCTGCTCAGCACCTGCTTCTGAAACAGTTTCTTTAACTGATCCAGCAAAGGGGTGAGGTCCATCAGAGTAGTAGTTGCCATGAAAGCCTGAAGCTGAGAGTGAAGCCACTCCCTTTCACTGTCAAACACACTGCGGACCACCTGCAATAGCTCACGCCTCCAGTCCACATCCCCCTGGTCAGTTTTCATATGCATACACAACATAAACCCAAAATTAAAAATGCAGGTGAACTGTTGGATTGTACACATGCTAATGCACACCATCAACCCTATGCGAACTCTGGATCTACAGATTTATTTCCAAGCTACTTTAACCCTATAAAGCCTATTGCATCATATCTAATCAGCAAATCAAGGCCTATAAATTATTAACACGATGATTAAAACTTTGCTGAAAAAAACTGCTGCACACAATCTACTACATGACTGTTTCATTGCGACTTTAAGATCTATAAGGTAAGCAATGTACAGATGAGCCTCACCCTGGGTTCCCTGTCAGCCATCCTGCAGAGCAGCTCTCTGAGTGATAGGATGGTCTCCTGTAAGGCCCGTCTCTCCCTCTGCCAGGAGTGGGGTGGGGCAGGCTCAGAATCTGGGCGGGACTGGCCAGATGGGGCAGGGCGATGGGACAAAGACAGGATTCTGCAGCTTTCCTGGTAGACGCGCTTCAACATAGCCTATGAATGATACAATTTATATAAATGAATCACAAAATCAATCATTTTTTCATGTATGAGTGAGGACAGCATTATAATACTGTTAACCTGTAACTCAGGTGTGAGGGCCTCGTGGCTCTCATGCATACTGCCTGCAGCACTATCCGTTTTCTCTCCAGGTGACATTCCTCTGCAGCGCAGATACTCTACAAAATGAGCATCTAAACGCTCTGTATTCTCCAACTCAAGCTTCAGCATGGCTCCCAACTCTGAGCTCACATCTACAAACACAAACACATTAAGATAACTAACAAGGAAAATTATCTTAACCTTGTAAAAAACACATGCAGTCTCTCTTACAGAAATACAAGCATGCATTAGTACACTACTCACTGCTGCCGTATCCATCGCTGACCCACTCCGGCACAGACACAGGAGAGGTGGAACCAAGTGGAGATGGTGTCACATCTGAATTGTCCAATTCATCAACCTTAAAACATAACATCTACACCATTACCACACCATTAATGCCAAAAATAATGTCACCAGAGAACCAATAACATGTGACACCAATTCTAACTATTGCAATTTGTTTATGGCATTTTCTACAAATATAGCAAAAATCATGAGGATCCAAAGTGTGAGAATTTTCAGATCTATTAGATAAACTATTAACTAAAGGTGCAGTCAACATTCACAAAATTGTGTGGCCAAAAAACAGTCAATTTTCTGGCATTCAGGCTGGGTGATAAATCAATATTGACTTTTATTGGGGAGGAAAAAAAAAAAAAAAAAAAAAAAGAGATTTTTTTATGGAA